ATACCTGCACGGCAATAGCAGCTAAGAACGACATTACGAGAACGGACATCAACCTTTGGAATACCTACATCACCTCGACCTGCACTAATATTTGGGCTACCTATGCTGTCTGCGTTTCTAGCCCCTTGGCAGAGGACTACTGGAGTTCAGTTGGCTGCTTAACTGACAGCCAAAGTGCTCGTGCATTAGCAAACAGAATAACGCTCACTAACGAGAAATCTATTATGACACCGAAGGCTTGCAGCGATGCCTGCGCTGCGGCAGGATACCGCCTTTCCGGTCTCGAGTATGGGTTTGAATGTTACTGTGATAACGCTATCCGCAACGGCCACGGCTTGACCCAGTCAGGCTGCACGACTCCCTGCCCCGGTGCACCATCAATTACGTGCGGCGGACCCGACAGGATCAATCTCTACCGCCTCGATAAATACAAAGACCTCGGCTGCTACACCGACATCGCCACGTCGCGCACGCTAGAGAAGCAGATCATCATTACGAACCAGAATACTATTCTCACACGCGAGATCTGTCAGACCGCCTGCGAGAAGGCGGGGTACATCTACTCGGGCGTCGAGTATGCACATCAGTGCTGGTGCGGCAACACCATCCGGGGTAGCCCGGCATCGAGCGGGTGCTCGTCGGCGTGTCCAGGTAATACGGCCCAGACATGTGGAGGCTCGGATCGGATTAATGTGATGATGCGGCCGCAATCCAGATCTCTCGGGTGCTATTCCGATGATGTGAATAAGAGGACGCTCAGGTACCAGCTCACTATTACGAATGCGGCGACGTTGATGACAGTTGAGTTGTGTAGAACCACGTGTTTGACGAAGGGCTTCATTTATTCTGGGGTTGAGTATGGGCATCAGTGTTTCTGTGACGATGAGCTCTATGGTACTGGGGTGCCATCGACTGGGTGTACAATGGCTTGTCCAGGGGGTGGTTCTGCAGTTTGCGGTGGCAGCTCGAGGATCAATATATATTCCTTGTAAATGGTGGAGTCACCTGTTATCTTTAAGAAGGATCTATAACTTATATTGTTCCGGCCGAACGGCGAATAATAGGAGTAGCGGCGTAAAACAATACAGTATCAATAATATGTTCCATATCACGATATTCATTATAAGTTAATAAAAACCACTCGGAACAGTTGTGGTTGCCCCTGAGTTCTGGGGGTCTACGCCACATCCACTCAGCTCACTGATTTTGGGGGTGGTGGAGCGGGTGGGTGATTGGAGAGGTCGACCAATTTAAAGGCCTGGATGTATGCCGGCACCGCCATAAGAATGTCACAAGCGCTCCATGAGCGGATGGGCGCATAGCTGGCGGTTTCAGCATTGAGCGACGCTATGAGGTAGCAGACGACTCTTCTGCAGAGGTCGTGGGCGAAGATGCGCTGCTCTGGTAGCTTGTATGTGGCCGCGAACTGGTCCGGTGCACGCAAAATCATGCATGACTGTCGTTCGGGTCAACCTAACCCGCCTGGGTAGCTCAATCGGTAGAGCGTGTGACTCTTACTTCCTATCTTAGGATACGAGATCATCTCAAGGTCGCGGGTTCGAGCCCCGCCTCGGGCTCAAATCCCGAGTGCTCTCTTGAGGAGTCCTCAATTACTTTTTTGGCATTTTTGCTGGTTGTGGTAATGAGGCACATGGGAGGTAATGTTTTTTGGTTTTTACGTTTGTGGGGCTTGTTTGAATTTTAAACTGAACTTTTTTATATATTATCTATTTCTCTCAGGCTATGGGAATGAGGACATCATTTTAAGATGCAAAATTATCTTTTATTTTTGTCGTTTGCTCTTCTCAGAGTAGTGATATTTCCCATGATGCAGCGGCGCGCTAAAAAAAAGTTTTCTGACGTCGCCGATATCTGCAAGGCTAACAATCAGCCTCGTCCCGCGCTCGTCCCCTGCTTCCCGGGTGATACCACCAACAACCACCAATAGCCAAACTCCAGAGAGAGCTGCTGTGATATCTTTCTATCACCTTGCACCTGCAGGACGGCAGTAAACAGCACAATTGGGCGATCCCACAGCTAACAGCTGTCACTCGGATGACTGGCGTGCGGTGTGTTGGTCCGAGCTGTGGCGTAGAGCTCATGCAAGGGAGTGTGTTATTGTTGGCGACGTCGTGGTTGGTATCTGAGCGATTATTGGAGGCAGGACCCGAATCCGGATATATCTTGCTGTCTGATGTGAGAGAGGGACGATGTGTCTCCAGATGATCGGCCGCTACTGGGTGATCATGTATTAACATTGAGCCATGGCCCCCAGGCGGCCCCCAGGTAATACGTCCATTCAGGCAGAATATGAGTCTGTATATTGATAATGCAGGTAGTGTGAGAAACCAGCTATATTGATTCTTCTCACTCTGGGAGGAACAGTATGTCTGCGAATGATCTGGTACTACTAGGCGATCACGTATAACGTTCAGCCCTGGCCCCCAGGTGGCCCCAAGCGACACGTCCATTCAGGCAGAATATGAGTCTATATATTGATAACGCAAGCAGCGTGAGAAACCAATTGTATTGACGCTTCTAACTCTGGTTACACAGGACTCTCCGAGTATTGGGGGCGCTTTGGGTCCAAATCAGCGGCCGGAGAGTGCTTTATGGTCTCACTTTATATGACTTGTGGTGTCGTCTTCGAGGCCTCAGACCCCACAGCTACACAGCTTCACGCGCTGTGCGGGTGTAACTTCTGCTGCAACTGGCGTTACCTTGCTTCCTTCTTACTGTTGCCTGTTTTGGCCAAAGACTGTCTTCGAGGCCTCAGATCCTAGAGCTACACAGTTGCACCCGTGCGGGTGTCACTTCTGCTGCAGCTTGCGTTACCTTGCTTCCGTGCTCGCCATTGCCTATTTTACCCAAAGGCCGCCTCCAAGGACTTAGATTCCAGAACTATACAGCTCCATATGCTATGCGGGTGTCACTTCTGCTGCAGCTGGGGCTACCTTGCTTCCATGCTCACTGTGCTCTGTTTTACTCTAAGAAATGGGGGCCCCGCGATTCTCATTTTTTGTATACTAAGTGGTCCTCTCGTTCGTGATGATTGCCTTTCTGCTAAATCTCCTTGCTGAATCTCCCTGTTAAATCTCCTTGCTAGAGAACATCCCAATTCAAGTGCATCATGGCGACTTCTCAACCACGATTTCCCTCACAGCATGGGACATTGGAATACCTGCGTCTTCAGTATGACAATGCCATCGCGTCGGGCATCAAGCATCCTCTGTTGTTTCCCCAAATGCTGTTCAGTATGGCCCTCCTGGCTGGTTTCCTTCTCATAGACCACCGACACAACCGCTTCCTATACCAGCTGCGATGGCTAGTTTGGTTTGCCATCATTGCAGTTGAGGTTTCTAACATGCGTCATCGGATCTCCGTCGACCCAGCTGTTTCTTATGTCTCCGGCATTGCATCGGTATATGTTATAGTATGGAGTACGATGTGGTTGATCTTTGAGCGTCCCCAGTTTACGGCTGTACGCATCGAGCGCCGACGCAAGGCAGTACAGAATGGGAGTCGGGCCGGCTCTGGTGGTACTACTCAAGAACGCTCCGAGACGATTGGATATAAGATGAATGGGAATGGATATTCTCTGGAACAACAAAACGGCCTCGACGCCGAAAAAAGTCTGGCAGAAACCAATGACTCGAAGGGGGAGTGGGAATACTTCTGGCAACCATACCCCGATGTTTTGGGAGAACGCCTTGCTTGGGTTCTGGATTTGATATTCAGTTTCCGTGGGAGGGGATGGAACTTCTCCATCCCTACCAATCCAGCTCTCCCCGAAGATGTTGCCGCTTCCCTCGGCGAGCCCATTTCGGAGTCTGATAAAGTCCTGAAAAGCAGGACCGGAATCAAATGCTTTCGAACCCGCAAAGAGCTGGCACGCTATGTGATATCCAGGTTCATACTCTGCTACCTCGTCCTGGACCTATGCAAATTCCAGATCATCCACGACCCCTTTTTCCGCACCGGCGACGAGTCTCTCCCCGCCCCCCAATACCTCGACGGCCTCCCACCCTTCCTCATCACCCGCATTCGCCGCAACACCCTAGTCCTCTCACTAGTGACCTTCATCCAATTCCACGCCCTCCTAGTCCCCATCATCGCCTCCCTCCTCCTCGGTCCCACCGTCCTCGGTATCCGCGGCGAACCCTGGATGTACGCCACAACATGGAGCAGCCCCTCTACCATCCTCGACAAAGGCCTCGGCGGCTTCTGGGGCAGCTGGTGGCACCAGACCTTCCGCGCCGGATTCACCGCGCCGACGAATTACCTTATTCGCAAAGGTGGGCCTGCCCGGCACGGGCATTGCATCGCAACTAGTCGGCATCGCTATCGCCTTCATCATCTCAGGCGCTATGCACACCGCCGGCAGCGCCGTGCAAGTCCTCCCCACGCTTCCAGAGCGCCAACTCACATTCTTCCTACTACAGCTCGTGGCGGTGACGGCGCAGACCTCATTCTGCGCGGCGCTGCGGCCTTGGATTGAGAGGTTGCCGGTGTGGGCGAGCAGGACGGCGAAGGCGGTTTTTACGTACCTATGGCTGTATGCGACGTGTCCGCTGTTCATGAATGATATGTCGGCGGGCGGGACGTGGATGTATGAGCCGGTTATGGTGAGTCCGTTGCGGTGGTGGCGGTTGGGGCCTAAGGGGTATGGGTGGTGGACGTGGGCGCATGTTGAGATTGGGTGGTATCAGGGGAGGCATTGGTGGGAGAGTGGGATTGGAGGGCTTTGAGGGGTGAATGGGAGTATTGATTATGATGAAGTCGACAGCCTACCTATGGCAATCTTTGCGGATCTTGGAATGCAATTGCAGAACAAATTATTTTAGCCCTACAGTATTTTTATGAAGCGGGCGTAGATACTACTCGCGTTTTAAAATAGCTATCACAGAAGCTATAGTTTAGTTTATAAATATTTGTTACGATCCTCACTTCATACTCAAAACCACACCGAAGGCGTCGCATCATCCAATCCAAACCACCCTGCCTGGGTAGCTCAATCGGTAGAGCGTGTGACTCTTAATCTCAAGGTCGCGGGTTCGAGCCCCGCCTCGGGCTCAAATCCCGAGTTTCTCTACAAGATTCTCTCATTATCTTTTTGCACTTTTTGAGTGGCCGAAGAGTGGATCAACTCCACCGTAGAAGCTCCCGGTGGCAAAGCACCTCTCCTACCTATACAGGAAACCAAAAACAACGACAATGCTTCTTCTTCTAATCTAGAGTCTAAATGCAAGCATAAATACCCCGATCCCTCCCCTTTACAACACTCGCGGTCTGAAAAAACTGCTAGATCTTGCCTAGCTTCTCAGTACAGCTTTGTAATACCCTCTTCACCCCTAGCGCGCGCTCATTCGCAGAGGCCTCACGGAGCTGCTTTCCAAAATCCTCTCTCAACCCGACCCTCCCTCCCTGATCCTGCCCAAATACGCCCGCCACCACCGCATCAATCACTGCTTCTGCAGCCTCCGCGCGTTTCGTCCTTGCCACCTCGCTGCCCACACCAGACGGAACTTCCAATAACGCAAAATAGCCCGCCGCAAGGGCATAGTTGTCTCCAGCTTGCGGTGTACCCTTAGCCAAGGCGGCGAATTTGAGTTTCGAGCGCTCATAGAGGGCCACGCGTGCGTTTATGCTTGATTTCTGGCTTGCAAAGACTGCGTTCATTCGCTCGAGCAGTTGAGGGAGATGTGTGAGTGGATTCTCTACGACCCCTGGCTCGGTGTTCACAGCGCGTATCAAGGCGGAGACACCGTTGGTGATTGTGAGCGTATCTAACGAGCTGGCTTTCTTGTCATCCTTGTCGTCAACGTCCATTTTATCGTCGCTAATAGCCTCTTCGAGCCATGGCCAAATGACATCGTGCACCTGGGTGAAGAGGTCCGTGTCTGTTCTCGCCTCGGCGTATTCGCCCAGAGCAAGGAAAGCATGAGGGCGATATGCATCATTATTTCGTTTCGCTTCTCGGATTGCGATCTTTGTCATTTGCGCAGTGATTTTTGGATCCTTCGACCAAAATGTCTTGCTGGCCTGTGAAAATTTGACAAAACTAGTCAAGACCTTCTCCTTGCCATCAAAAGTTTTAACAGCAAGTGCCCTTTCGAGTGCTGGCCATATAGCTGTGGAGTGTGGGATGCTGATATCTGTGCCGGCAGAGGTTACGACATCTGCTATAGTAACAGCGGCTGTATGCTTGACTGTCCATTTCGGCGAATCGAGACGCTCGACTGCGATATCGATAATCTCCTTTAGATATAGCAGGACAGCGCGAGAACCGCCGACATTCTCATCCCAAGTTTTAGTAAACTGATCTCTAACATGCTCGTTAAAGTCATGCTTAGCCATGAAAACAAAGGGCAGGAACTCAGTTGCGAGTGCATTGAACCGGTCTGTCGCAAATTTAGACATAGCGTATATGATGTCTGCAGATACCTGCCGGTGAGACTCGTCTTCGGCTGCGAAATATAAATTCTTTGAATAAGTTGCGAGTTTGAGAATTTGCTGATTCGAACCAAGCCGGGCTAGGTAGCCTGCCGCTCGGGCGTATGCTGCGCTGACAGTGGAATTCCGATCACGGACGGCCTTCTCCATATCCTTCAAAAAGATATCTGCGTGGGGCTTAAATAAGAATGAATGCCTAGTCGCAAGACTAACTAAAACGCCACTGCACCCAACTTTTGATGGCATGCCAACAGCTGTCTTGATGACATTTTCCAGGTGAGGCACCAAGTCCTTCATTGTCTTATCGTCAAGGAGATCCAAGCATCGTTCTATGGCCTCCATCATTGGTGAATGCGAAATGGCAGTACTACGGGCCTCGTCGATCTTCTCTTGCGTGGTATCGTACTTCGCAGCGTTCATGTGGAGATAGTTGATGATATCTGGCTCCAGTGTGCTCAAAAGGCCCAATATTTGCTCGATGAGACTGGGGATAAATGGCAGTAGTGTTTTTCCACCGCTCTTTACAAGCTTCAAAACGGTATCGTATGCGAACTTCTGGACTTCATTTGACGGGCTTTCAAGACCCCGCGTCGAGAATAGGAAGGGCATGACCTCTTTCAGCATAACTTGGGCATTCTTAGAGGATGTGCCAGCTTCAAGCTGCCGTACGAGAATCCCAGTGAGAACTTGGCACAACTTCTCAGCTGCCTTTCTGACAGATCCTTTGATATCATCGAGAACCTTGAAAGCAACTTCCCAGATTTGCGCCAGGTATTTCTCGTACTTTTCAAACTGCCGCCCTTGAACCAAGTCTGCAATAGCCGCGCAACTTGCTTCCCTCGTACGCCATTCTTTACCCAAGATGTTCTTTAGTAGGTCATCCATGATTGCATCAAAGTGCTCGTCGATGACAACAGTGGGCGATTTGACGAGGGCATTCCAGATGTCGTTCATAGATCTCTGTACGTTAGGGTTTGGATCAAAGCGGTATCTAAATAGCTTAGGATACAGCTTTGGATCAACTGCAGACTCGGACAAGATACTGCTCAGACCAAATCTTCCAAATGCAGCTCTTGTTGACCACGTTGCAGCATTAGAAGCCAAAGACATGAACTTGTAAACGAGACTCTGGTCTCCAACTTCCGCAGCAAGCGACATGATATCTTTATAAGACGTGACAGATTCGCCGTTGCCTGTTGGAAGCGCACCGGGCTCAAAAAGCTCTGTGTCTTCCTCGACTTTGATTTTTGTTGAAGTTCCGGTAAATGATGCCACCAGATCTGCAACAAGACGCTCTCGGAGATCCTTATCACCTTGTTCATAAACAAGACTCAGTCCCCGTGATGCAGTTTCTTGGACGAGGTCATCTCGTGCTGATAATAGGCCCATAAATGCTGCCTGGCACTCTCGTAGTCGGCTTTGAATCTCTTGAAGATGTCCACAGTATTGGATTAAAGAAAAAAGCCAAATCCCCGAGGCTTTCTTCAACGAGGGCTTAGTGTTTTTACAGTCTTTCAAGATTTTGTCAACTACACCTTCCAATGTAGATGATCTTGTTGGGCCCTTGTAGTTTGCTTCAACATCCAAGGTCAGAATCAAAGAGTCGGATTCCCACCCCGTCGAAGCTACTGCCAGCGCTTCGCCGACTGTGAAATGAACTTCGGCTTGTCTCAGCTCATGCAGTTCATATAGACCCTTTAGTATTATGGCGAGTGGTGACTCTGGAGTCTCAAGAGTCTCTTCATCAAAGATAAGAGCAAATCTACCGAGAGCTGAGATCGCCTTCTCATTTCCTTTCTTTGCCTCCGTTGTGAGCACCTTGATGATTGCAACTGCATCATACGGAGAGGCCTCAAGCCGGGCTTCAGTTACCAGATCCACGGTGCTAAGGAGGCCAATGGCTATAAACGCAGATTCCTTGTTACTGGCGTCAGTTGCATTGCTGGCCATGTTCAGAATCAGCCTGACAGCTTCATCTATCAGTGCTACTTCAACATCGGCAATGCGTCCATAGAAGACGGCGCGACTCAGAAGGTACGAGAGGGCAATTGTTGAACCGTGAACCTTATTTGCTCCTGCTCCAACTGCCGAATCCCAAAGCTTAACAGACTGAATAAGTGCTTGCAAGATTTTGTTCAGTTGATCTGCTTCACTCGACGGATGGGCTCCAAGCATGCCCAGGGCCTGAGCCGCAGTCTGCCTTGTTGCAACGTCGTTGGAAGCGATGGCTGGTAATAACTCAGAGGCTCGAGTGGCGAGTTCGGATAGACATGCCTGAGGTGCCAACGCTCCCAGTTCAACAAGTGACTTTCCGCAGTCTTCGAGCCCTTTACCATGCTTCCATAACATTCCTTCAAATGCCGCAGTAAAAAAGATGCTCAAGTCCTCATGGCTTATAGTTTTCATATGATCTTTGACTAATTGTCGCGACGACTTATCTGTTCGGAGTAGCACATTGAGCTGGCGTTCCCAATCTGCCTCGCTGCCAATATCCTTCCCTTGCTGCGTCGCTGCTATTAGAAGCATTCGACGGCAGTAAGCCACAGCATGGTGGAAGGCGTTTATTCTATTCCCCGAGAAGTTACCGAAGACGGAGACGCTGTCGATATCCATGCCGGTGAGCATGGTGTTGGCGATATGGGAGTTTTCCATGAGAGTTTTCCCGGTAAAGAATACTCTGACAAGCTCGCCCCAATTCGGAAGAATGAGGTCATTCGTTCCTTCTGATAGATTGAGCAGACGGTACCAATATGGATCCTGAATTGAATTAGTTATTTTAAATTCAGTTCTGGACAGGGGAGGAAATCGAGTCACTCACCAAGCCTTTATTGCCTTCCTCGAGCACGTCGCTTCTTTCCTCCGCGGAGCTTCCCAGAGCGAGAATATCTACCCATCTCCCCACAACATCGCTATACTCAAGGCAGCGATTTGCCCAGCGTACGGTCACAAACTTAGCGCTGCGTACGATAGTGTCATCTTTCTCTTGTAACATATAAGAAAGCAACAGTGACCGAAGTTCGTCTCGCAATGAAGAGTCCAATGGACCAGAAAATGCATTTAACAGACTTGCCAATGCCCCTTCAATGCTAATGAAAATGCTTTCAGACGACCTTTCTTCAGTCAGAGACCGAAACAGCCAACGAATGAGATCAAGGCCAGGTTCAAGGACAGTTGATGGTACTGTCTTTGCCATTGAGCCAAGGGTCTCATATGCCAATGCTCGAAGAGCCAGTTCATCAGTAGACCGACTGTTGGGCACTGGCCAACCTTGCTCTTCAATGAAAGAACGGAGGAAGGTTATGATAGAAGGAGCGGCACGCTTTAAGTCATCCGGTGAACCCATTCTAGAAACCCAATTCATGAAGTTGAACATTGCGTTCCGCAATTTCAAGGCTTCCAGTCCTTGCACAGGAGGAGCATCAGGCATGGCCGGTTGTATGCTTCCCTGAACAATTCGGACAATCTTATCTGGATATGTTGTTGACGCAGTAGATTTTGCCATCAACGTGAGAATACGTGTCTGAAGTGCCGGCTTCGAAGACATATATATATCGAAAAGCTTGCTAATTACAGACTTATCTTCTAATGACACTGTGCTTCGTTTAAGTAAATCTTCTCCG